TCGTTTTTTTGCGATTATTCTGAAAATATGTAGGTTAGGAACTTGAAAATTTGTGAAACTATATTTTTTTAGGCGACGAATAAGATGCGTGTTGTAATTTCAGCATTGCTCATAGAGGGCGCCACTTACGTCCAATTTTACCGAAAATTTAGTTAATAACTTTTTACCCTGTATATTTAACATGAAACATGATTCAAAACCTGAAAGAGCTATCATTTTTCCATTAATTATGTACTCTTGTTTCATTTCCATAACGCGATCCGTTTTCGAGAAAAATCGATTTAACGAACACTGTGTTTTGATAATATGAGAAATTAAAAGCGAAACAAACCAAGTGTTTCTTCATGTTATTACAACAATTAACAATAAAACAAATAAAATACGTAATTATGATTTAAAGTAATTGTTCGAAGAATCCACCGTTGACACTGACACACTTTACACGTTTTCTTAGAGATTTTCGAGTTTGAAACATCATATTGAGATTGCGTCTGACTTCGTTGGCAGCGATTTGTATTCTTTGCCACAACTCTTCACACGAGGCAATAGATTATTTGTAAACTATATCTTTCATTCGAGATCAAATACAAAAATCAAGAGGATTGAAGTCCGGACTTCTGGATGGCCAAGCAAAAATGCTGGCCAATACATGGCCAATCCAGCGATTTGGAAAAACAGCATCTAAATATGCACGCACTGGTCAAGAAAAATGCGGTGAAGCTCCGTCGTGCATGAACCGTATGTCTTTTCTTAAATAAAATGGAACTTCTTCAAGCCGTGAAAGCATTTTTATATGGCCACACAGAAGTCCGGAGTTCAATCCTCTTCATTTTTTTATTTGGAAGAATCTATTGGTTCGTTTGAAGAGTTGTGGCAAAGAATACAAATCGCTGCCAACGAAGTCAAACGCAATCCCAATATGTTGTTTCAAACTCGAAGATCTCTCAGAAAACATTGTGTAGTGTGTAAATGTCAACGATGGATTCTTCGAACACTGACTTTAAATCATTATTACGAATTTCATTTGTTTTATTGTTAATTATTGTTGTAATAACACGAAGAAACACTTGGTTTGTTTTGCTTTTAATTTCTCGTATTATCAAAACATAGTGTTCGTTAAATCGATTTTTCTCGAAAACGGATCGAAATACCGAAATGAAACAAGAATACATAATTAATGGAAAAATGATTGCTCTTTCAGGTTTTGAATCAGGTTCCATGTTAGACATACAGGGTAAAAAGTTATTAACTAAATTTTCGGTAAAATTGGTCGTAAGTGGCGCCCTCTATGAGCAATGCTGAAATTACAACACGCATCTTATTCATCGCCTAAAAAAATATAGCTTCACAATTTTTCAAGTTCCTAACCTACATATTTTCAGAATAATCGTAAAAAAAACTATTTAAAATTTTAACTTTCAACACCCTGTATTTCCGAAACTATCAACTTTCGGATAAGGCATGTTTGCGCCAATGGTCCCATTTCAAGTGAAGTATCTTCAGCTTTCGATTTTCCCATTTTTAATTAATCACCCTGTATATGATTTAATTATTTTACAATTTTATGTAAATTTTTAGAATTAATTTGAATAATTAAGTCAAAACTGTTGGATGTATTGGACTATTTCCAGCAAAGTACTGTTAATCAATATGATTTTCCAACCAGATGGATAATTTCTGATATTTGCATTGCAGAGAAGAAACATTTTACATTGCTTAATTTTCTATTTACTTGTTTGCACCTTCTTTTGCAATTGCTGTTTTATATGATCCGGTAGTTGGTACCTAACTGTAATTTAAAGTGAGAGATTGGATTGTTTACTTAAGTATTTCAATTCAGTAACTGATTTAAGAACTTATGCATGTCAAAGGTAAACCTCGTGGCTTTTGTTTTTAACGATGTTTACTGTTGAACACGTTTCACAAATGTAAATAAAACACGACGGTGTACATATCCATTAAAAAAGTCAGTTTAATTAATGGAAATCGAGATGCAAAGCAGTTTGCTAGGTACTTGAAGTGAGCCAAAACTTTGAAGACATCAACCCTATTGTTATTTACAGTTGTACAGTGGTGCATCCTAAAGCGGTACCGTAGCCCAAGCCACGTGCTGCTGTAGTACGGCACGTGATCACAAAATATACGCCACTTATGGTACTATCTTTATTTCTGCGTAGTCCCTGAGCGCAGTCGATCGCAAAACCACATGGAGCTGGAGAATATCGTATTGAAAGTATTGTAGTGTTGCAGTGACGGTCCAAGTGTTTTGAGTGCAGGTAAAACAGGGCCTCGAATTTCGGCGCCTTGAAGAAGAAGAGTGCAACGGCCTTTCAGTAAATATATAAAAAAACTGGAAAAATGGACGGGTCGTACGATTTGGACACGATGATGGGCTACCTGGGTAGGTATACTATTTACACGTACTTAAATAACTGTCAAAGCTTGAAGTCGTGGAATCTTTCACATATATTTAGAATTTTGTTCTATTTTTTACACAAACAACAAATGAATTTTGTCAGAGACGTAAAACTTTAGTATACCAGCACATCTCACCTGATCTCATTCAAATCAACTGTAAATTATTTACTGCTATTGTGTTTCGTAACCACTACTGTTTAAATTTTGCATATTTCCATTTTGAATATTTTTTTCCAATGACATGCTTCTATTGTACGTTCTATCACCTTATACTTATACTTATACAGTCTGGTAGATTTAATTATATCTTGGCCTCTAATTTTAGGTGCGACCGCATTGTTATTAGTGCAATTAAAATTAGTCGTTTATTTTTCTATTAAACTTTCCATTCAATATTTAAATCAGTCATGGGTTTATCACACGTGGTCCTTCTTGGATATCACAACGACTTCCCATTCTGATAAATCCGTTCATGGTTAACTATACTTACGTTTTTGAATAGAAATAAAATTAAATCTAGTTTTTGAGAAACAAAAATCTTATTTAGATCTGGAAGATCGTTGCAATGTCCTTCAGTTCAATGTTATATTCAAATTCTGATCCTAAATTCTATGATAAATTTTGGTGATGATAAGAATTTAGAAAGAATTATATGGGGATATGATATAATACCGATAATTGTTATAGAATGAAATCTAAAGCCGCTTATTTTGTTTCATTAACGAGTACCATATTACTCAGTGATTGAAAAATTTTATTGTGTAATTTTATTACATTGGGGGGTTGGGTTTTATTAAAATTAGAACAATAAAATAGCAAATAGCTTGAAAAACTGATTTCAACTTAATAAAAATCTCTTTCATCTGAAAAAAATTCATTAATAAAACGTTTTTCCCTGTATGTATTTATTAAATACCTTTATGTAATAATTATCTTTAGATAATGATCGTATGATGCAAATCATACGAACATGATTTTATGTTAGAATTTACGACCAAGTAACAGACTTCATGGACAACAGACGGGAGTTAAATTTGAATTCTAGGAAATTTCTGTTACTATTTCGAAACTTTTCCAGAAAATTTTCCAAAGTGAAACATTTTTTCCTTGCCATACAGTATCGAAAAGTACATTAGTTTTCTATACTTTAATAAAAGGAAAAAATGAAATATTATTAAGTAGTTGATAGATAAATGATGTAGAATTATTGACAATACTTTTTTTTTTAACTAAGCATGAAATAGGTATTCTTATTCTGATGATTTCATAGTGGTTTTACGTCAAATTAAAGAAGAAATCATTAATGCGCTATAAATTATTTTTTTTATAAATGCAGGATGTCTCGGTATTCTTTGTATAAGGTGAACGATATATCTTGGAAAATGCATTTTTCTGGAAAACGGTTTTAGATAATTAAATTCGGTGCAACTATGAACTAAAGTAGAAATATTTGTAAATTATCAAAAATATTTAATTCATTCTACAAAAAAAACTTTAGATGCGTTCATTTTGAAGAAAAAAGTAAAGTAACAAACACTATAAATGCCGAGAATTTAAGGAAAACAATGTTCAGCTATATATCTCGAAAACAGTTGAAATGTTAAAAAATACTAACCAGAAGAAAGTATTAACTAACTAAAAGTTCTTAAAAAAATACAAGAGTAGAGTATTGGGCATTGCAAATATAATAAAAAATTTTATTTTACATCCGAGTGACAATCTTTAGAATTTAATTATTTAAAAAAATGCATTTCAAACAATATATGTCGGTAACACTGTACATCTAACAGATTCTTGGGAACAAGACGAAACGATTTGACTAAACTTACTTCTATCCAAAATCACTTGAGCCGTTAGAAGGCTTCAAGCCAATGTGGATATTTTCTGTAAATGCAATTACTTCGAATTCTATATCAAACAGTGACATCTGCACGTCAAACTTTAGTTAAATAAGGCGTTATTACGTGAATAAAAAACTAAATTTTTTACTAACTTGAACACTAAATGAAACAACTTTCAATAGAGGTAATTTTAAATAGTTACATCTTTATATTTTGACTCCAAGAATTTGAATGCAAAAAAAATAAATATTGATATACCTACTTATTTTTTACGGAAAGTATCCTTTTGGATTTTATCGATGTCAATAAAAGCGTGCAGCTAAGATAGCTTTGGTTTTACTTCCATTTTTTTTCTACAGCGCTAATAAGTACGAAAATAACAAAGACAATTTATTGAGATAATAAACCTTAAAAAAATACTTTTTTCTTATGTGGATTTATTACCACAGAATTTAAAGAAGCGTTTGACTTAATAATATATATAATTCCAAAAAATCTAACCTCGTTCATCTCTCGGTTTGTCTATTTAATAAAGAGTTATATAATAATAGTAGGTATGTCACGTTTTTCATGACAAAAGGTTGCCTTGAAGATTTATTTACTTATTTCAACATCCTTTTTATAACGTAAATGAAAAATTTAAGAAAATGCATAATTTCAAACAGAAAAATGTTTCACTTTTTGAAAATTTGCCCTGTCATTCTGAACTTTAATCTTGCCGCCATGTAAATAATATTTTATCTCATTTACAGAAAATGAGGTTACTTAAATAAATTTTATTTAAAAAATAATTTGATGTTTTGACAGTCGACAACCGTCACCTAGGCATCATAATTGTATCATTTATCTCGGTGTATTTTATTGATATACATCAACAATATATTTTTGGAAAACATTTAGTACCTATGTACCTACTCTACTATATTATAGAGCGAATTTAAAATAACGGGAAAGGAAAAAGATTGCGAATGAAATTTACTAACACTCGTATAATACATTATGTAACAAGCAAATCTTTGCATATACATAATTATGCATATTATGAATAATATAAAATGCTACATACTAAATTTGACCGAATTGGCTTTAACCCTTTTTTCGTAATTAAAAATATATATATATTTCTCAAACTAACGCACTCTGTATCTCGAAAATGAAGCTTATGGATACTCGTTTACGATATTGTTTTTTGATTGCTTACGTAAAATGCTATTAAAGTTTGACCAAGCATTTTTAATTATAAAAAATGTTTTGTTTTCTGTTTAGAAATTGTTATACAATATACTGTGAACTGAGCTTTTTACTGAAATTTTCTAAATGAAGAAACTTTTTCAAACTACTTTACTGTAAATAATCACATATTTAGAAAGTAACAACCAGCTGCAATAATTGCGACAATCCGTTTTTCGTTTCCATTTTAATAGAGTTCGTGTTCCTTGACTTATAAAATTAATTAAAAAAAAATAAACACCTTGAACTATAAAATAAAGGTTTATCTAAAAAATAACCTTAACATTAAGTTCTACTTTAAATTCATGTACGTAGTATTTCAGGTTGTTTTTTGGGTGCATTGAAAAATTTTACATATTTACAGAATTTGAGTTTTACTCTCGGTTTTACTAATTGTAACAACTTTTACCCAACGAAAAATATTGATTTCATAAATTAAATGTAGGATTAGAAGAGAATGAGATTTTTTATGCTAAACTTCACATCACTCTGGTATGTGCTTCATAAGTGAAAGTAGAATGGTTGTCAAATCTTTAAAAAAAATAATAATCTTTATATAATTTGAAATACTGATGTTCGTACATTATAAAGCCACAGTTATATTGAATATTTTGTATCGATTTGACCAGTCATGGTGTTATTGCTTTTCCATACTTCATTAACCATTATTACTATAGAGTGTAATAATACTATGTACAATACGACTACAATTTCTTACAATAAATGATAATACAATGCTATATTGTAAAAAAATATATTCATTCAGATTTTATATATGCATTAAATATTAATTTGTCATATTAAATTACAATTAAAATATGAAGAAGTTAAACATTTTTGTTTTAATTCCTTTTAAGATGAGCACTCGAAATCCAATAGATTGCTAATAAGCTGGATAAATTATAAAAACTATACTGAACTATACTGAATGTGCTTGATAATTAATGTTTCTTATTTATGTAAACAATAAAGAAAAAAAATAACAAGATATAAAAGGACAATAGTTGATAACATTGATAACATAGATGAACGTTGTAGTCAAATTCATATTTAAAAATTCTACAATATTGTGTATTGGTAATATCAACTACCAATTGTAATTATTGTATTTTGTTCTACCTACTCCATTTTAGCATAGTCTTAAGAAACCTACCATGAAATAATGTTAAAGCTAACATTCAAAAACAAGAGTATAGTAACTTATCTAAATTTTACATGATGATAATACCTTCAAATAAAATTTAAACGAAAAGTAACCATTGTTATCAGGTTCATTAAGGGGCTTTAACTGTCAATAAAGTTATTTGAAATTAAAGAAAATCCGATTTTCACATGTTTGGCTAGATTAGTTCCAATCAAAACTTTTGAATCTCTCGAGTTTTGTTTTTTGTAGAAAGCACGGTTTACGGGATTTTAAGTCAAACAGCTGCGGATCATCAGTACGATAGTCTGCCATAGGTACAAGGCGATGCTTTGTCGCAGCCATTGAGTTGCAATCACATATCTTCTAGGTTATATCTCACCTACACTCAAAGGTAGATTTTACTATTTTGTAAACTTGAAGACATTTTAAATATATTAAGAGGGAAAGTTTGTATTTGGATACAATCCTAATATAATGAGCTTTTTAGTAGCATACTGTTTATAAACATTATCGACAATAATTGTAAATATATTATAACTACTCAAAGATAAACATATGTCTATTAAAATTGCATGAATAGATAACCTTCTATTTATGTTCTATCATTCTTTTGAAAATAATCCATAAAGTCTTTGTATATTACCTATGAAAGATATTTAGGGTTAAATTATTTCTTCATCTTCAAATGATACAAAAATAGATTAATAAAAACAATCTGTCATTGATCCTTTGGCGTGGGTTTATTTAATATTGTAACTAAAGCCGGGA